CAAATTGGGAGAAAAATAACCTAATTTCAACATAAAAATATAAGTATATTCCTACCATTTCAAAAGAGGTTCTTCATTTTAAATTATTATTGTTGTTATTATTATTATTACTATTTATTATAAAAAGGCAAACACACTTTACTTTTGGATATTAGTTTCTTGGTCTTTTTATGTAAAAGTTCTATACATAAAAATCTTTGTATAAAGTAGTATAATTATTATTTTTACTAAAAAATACTATAAAATGTTTGACAAAAAAATTGTAGCCAATCAATCAACATACTATTACACCTTAAAATTCACGACCGGACATAAAAGATCAATAAACAAATCATTTCTTTCTTTCTTCAACTATAAAAGCCTAGATTTAATCAAAATAATAAATTAGAAGTCCAAAATTACCATATTTTATTGAATATTTAGTTGCTAAAGTTGGAATAATTTATCCTAAAACAACATTAACCAAGATTATTCTTTATTGTACTGTGTTTCAATTATTTTTTGACATTTTTTGTATTTGGCACATGACACACATGGTGTTCTTAGACTATGACATACAAAATGACGTTGACATTTGTACGGATTATTTAATTTATAATTTATAATATTATGAAGCATGTTTATATATTTGTTGGACCTTCAATATTGTTGTGTTTAGCAAAGTACAATAATTAATAATGCATTTTTACCGGTGTTATTCAGTGGCTAGTTAGAATTATACGGATATATAATTCATATTACTGTATTATTAATTTAATCAATAAAAAAAATTGAAACTCAGTTACTAAAAAAATTGAATTATAAATACTATTCGAAATACTGAATGGTGTTTGATAATATTTCATCCATTGAGATCTTGTAAATGCGATACAAAATTATCTAATATAGGGTAATATAAGTAAGTGTATTAGAAATGACTTGTTCTCGTGTTAAATGTATTTTGAAAAATATGATTAGGCAAAATTATTGGATTCTCTAAGTAGTACTAATTATTGAGCCTATTGTTCATGAATATGAATAACTATGAAATTCTTTTTATGGAACCAATGTTCACAAATCAAACAATCAAAAAAATGAATTAGAACTATCTTGTATACAAATTTTTATCAGTCAATATGATTAACGATATATATAATTTTTCTTTTAGATAAAATATATAATAATTCAGTTTAGTTGAATAGATGAACTTTCTCCTTACTAACGACGATTAATTTTTCAGTTCATAATTTTGAGCAAAAAAATAAATTATTTCTCTGTTTCAATTTATTTGTCTTAATTTCATTTTTATAACTATTCTTCAATTTTAACTTATCACGTAACATACTTAAGACCATAAATTTTTTTAAAAAAATTAATACATTTTACATATATAAAACTTTGCATCAATTTTAATAAAACCGTCAAATAAATTGAAACAAATGAAATATTTTTTTCAATAACAACTAGGGAAACCCTCCGGCATTATCGTGATTATTACCTTATTTTTCCAAGATTTTGTATAATTATTCATATACTAATATTATTGATCATAAAGTAATGGAATAATTATAATTTATATGAAAATGGGGTAACATGCTCACGATATTAATTAGTGACAGACAGAACACTAACACGTGGCTTGATTCCAACACAGGCTGTTAATTATGATTGGCTCTAAGCCTGCTAATTAAATTTAATTATCATTAGTGTACTTATCAACATATTACATAGGTTAAGAACATTTTTCAACTGCTACTCTCATAATTAATCATGCTTCTAAAATCCCTAATTATTTTAATTATTGAAAATCGTGTAATCTTCTTTTTGTACCGTTGTACAAATTCACTTTACTAAATTGTTAGATATCGATAGTTAAACGATACCTACGTGTAAAGAAAGTACACCAAAAAGTACAAGTTATTTCAGGGTAATTATTCGTTATTTAAATTTTATTGATCTTTGAGACTCGGCATTTCAAATCTCATTGAATAATTGTGGTTTCAAGACTCAAGTTTGAAATCACCAGGTGAGACATTTGATTCTTCGTAAAAAAAATTGACTTATGAAGTAAGTAACTGATATTCAACAATCATTTGATAACATTGTTCCTAAACCATACTGAATAAGGGGAATATGTTGCGCAATTCCCAAGGCTTAATAATTAAGATATAAACTTAAGAATTTAAACGATCTTTATCAAAAAATCTCTCTAGCGTAATATTAAATACATGAAATATTTGGTTATGTGTGTTGGATTTTCAATGATTTATTGCATAAATATCAGTTGATGTTATGTATGTAACTCTAGAAAGGGAGATAGTGAAAGTATATAATTATAATCGCATAATACTTATCGTAAGAATTTTTATCGGTAATAATTCACGTATTACAAGATGATAAATAATACATACATTTTCTATTTTTTTGGTTAAATTACAATTTTAATTTTCGACTAAGCTATGAACACGAATAGACAAACGGGCTAGCCTATAAATAGGCTACAAAAAGTTATAGAAAAATATTACAAATTTGCCACATTCAACTTAGATGGATACATAGTTCATGTAAATGAATTACTATATTGTATTATTTGAATAGAAGAAAATAGCCTACAATAATCTCTTAATTTTTTTTTTTAATCCTAATTCCTAATATTTTAGTAATTGATTTCTTATGTTATATTTAACTGATCTCTTAAAAAAAAAGGCCATATAAAAAGAAAAAAATAATATTTTTAATGTTCCTAAAATCGATCGCCTCTGCCAACATTAGTATTAGATCTCTTTGTAATTGGATTTTGCTGGTAGAATTAAATAATAACACAGTATTTAATATTTATATTAATGTATTATAATATTCATAATCCAAATCTAAGTTAACCCACTGGTGAAGCACTTTCTATATGTATATATATGTGACTCCTGGATAACTTAAAGGGACACTAGCCAAACAAGTATTGATGGGAAACTTATTTTTCGGCCGTTTTAATTTGTTTGTTCTATTTATAGTTTGATTTAAAAATATTATCTCTTTCGTATTTTGTAACTTTTTGATTTTAATTTTCACGTACGTATTTTAAACATAAGATTTAAAAGTTTTATTTACTTTTTAAAAAGATTTAAAAGTTTTATTTACTTTTTTAAATTTCATACTAAATAAAAATATGACAAAAATAAATTGAAACGATGGGATTACGTGGTAAAAATATGTAAAAAGTCCAATTAATATGTTCTAAAATTAATTTAATTCCAATCTCTGAAGAGCCATAAAAAAAATTACATTACAATTTACGACATTTCAAAAAAAAAAGAGAAAAGGTTTTAATCTTTAATTTCTTTTTACAAAATTTAGTGTATAATCACTGTATATGTGAGCTTTACTTCTGAACCAGCCAGATGAATGTATATTTATACATTTGAGAGGTCCACTTATTTTAGTGATATAATCGGTGTATACAGTATCAATTATATACTAAGTATATATTTATTGTATACAATGACTACAAAGTGTTACGATAGACGGGTTAATCTTTTAATCGTCTAGCTAAAAATGTTTTAAAATAATGGGTGTTTGAAGGACCAACCATTTCGCGTAAGGAAAAATTACGTGGATAATCAAATATGTATTAGTTAATTAATAAATATAACTATAGTTTGAATTAATTACGGCTTGCAACTTCAATTTAGCTGTAATTATGTGTGCCTCTGTCCGCTCTTCCTCTCTCTCACCTCTTTCCTTGCTTATAGATATACAAATACAAACTATACATATGTGATTATATGATAAACATATAAATGAAATCGCGCCTCTCCACTTTCTGCACTCTCTCGCTTTCCTCTCTCCTTCCTCTATCAATCTCGCTCGCTAGATATAAAAATGCATATGTATATCAGCTGTATATATACAATTATTTGACATTTATACAAATACAACTCGTCTGTCTCCACTCTATGGCCTCTCTCCGTCGCCTCTTCACCACTCTCTCAATCTCGCTCGCCTCTCTCCTTCCTCTAACATTTAGCTACGAATCGTAATTAGCAAACTATAATTATGAAGCATACTTCAAAACTATCTTAGTGGCTATTTGTGAGTTCTCAATACTTAGTAGCCCAGGCCCAAGAAGTTGTTGTTGAGCCCATAATTAACAACAATAATGAAGCATAAAATTCTGCGACTCTCCAAGTCCACACTAAATTAAAGTTGACCCGAAATTTATTCCATGATTTTAGTATTACTCCCTCCGTTTAAAAAAAAATTCTTTTTTTTTTTTAGTTTTTTTTCATAACGAATAACCTCTTTCTTTTTTTGGTAACAACTTTTCACATGACATGTTTAAGCCATAAGATTAAAGGGCAATTTTATACATTTAACATAACTTTTAGTTAGGACCACATGATTAAAAATCTTCTTTATTTTCTTTTTCGTGGGTCATTTTTTGTGAAACGAAGAAAGTATATATTTTTCTCTTTTCCTTAATTTTCCTCCGTGAGATAGTGATAAAATATGTGACTCTGGATAATTCCACCTTCCCCAAACTCAATTTGTGAAATTTCCCTCGGTAATCGGTGTGTTGGTGTCTCTTTTTCTTATTTTGGTTTACATTAAAGTTTGGTAGATTATCTTTTCAGTTCTCATGTCATAATCAATTTGTTAAATTGACCAACATCGACATACAATATGTCAGTACCCAATTTGTTTGAGACTAAGGGGCATTATTGTTGGCTATTGCATGTCGTCATTAATTTGTTTGGGATTGAAACATTATTGTTATTTGGCTATTGTATATCACCCGCAAAGAAAATATAAACAGGGATGAAGGTTTTCTATTCTCAAATCATTGCCTTTACTTAATATCTCGTTTGTACACATCTAATGCTTCTAATTTATTCCTCAACGCATCAATCACAAACAAGTTGAATGTACATATCACTCTATTTAAGCCCGTCTCACGCCATGCAATCCAACAAGTACCTTGCTACAGAGACTTCCTGTTGGTTCAACAAAGAAAAAAAAAAGAACAGTTCACTCTCAATCTCAAATCTAAACAGATGTTTGCAGATGAAAGTTCACACTAACTGAACAAAAATTTTATGCAGAAGGAATATGGTACAACGAACTTTGCAACTAAGCAATAGAAAGTTGTATTATACATAAACTTCAAAATCCCAACTATTATTTTTTAACATATAAACGTAACGACCTTGATCACCCTCATTTGTAGGCTGCCATGCCAACGCCGGCTTCACCACCATACGGCATGGGGCCACCTCGCGCCTTGGCATAGGTCACATAGTAGAACTGAGAGAGTATACTGGTGAAGAAAACGAAAGCTGCTCCAGCTGCAAAAACTCCTTTTCTCAGAGTTTCACATGATAGAGGTTTATCACTCGTCAAGTATGATGATCGATACTTGGTATGATAAGCATTTCTAACCGAACCAGCCAACAAGCAGACCTCAGCTATAAAAAATGCAACCCTGAAACAAAAGGTGCAGTTTTTTTTATCAATGTCTTTGGTTTTCGCTACTCTCAAGTTACAAGTCACACGATTTAGCATTGAAAGAGAAATCGACTTCCTCCTTTTTAAGTCACTGAACTGGAACACGGTTTGCTTGTTATTATACTTACCAGCATATGATGAATAAGAGAACAGCACAAGCTCTTGAACCTCCAGGCCTCAAAGCCTTTCCACAGCAGAAGCAACGGCTCGCCACCATTACAATTATTTGACTAAGCATAAGAAATAAAAAGGCACCAACACCAAATCCAGTTGCTATATCAGAGTCATAGACGCAATAGCTATGTTCATCTTCACCATCTTTTTTGATATTTGCCTACAAATGAAGGGATATATTCAATCAAGTGACACATGAAAAGCTAATTAGCTTGAACCAAATCACATGACAAAGCAACTAAAAGAAAACTTGGTCTCAAGTTCTCATGGACAACACTAATTTGCAATCTTTTCCCATCTTAAGTTATTATTATTGATAGAACTAAGATGTTTAACAACATTAGAGCTGAAATCTTCGATTGTTTGGCTCACACTTTGTACACGTATGAAAAAAAAATATTCACTAAACAAATACAAAAAACATACTTTGAACACAGTAAGTAAATCAAATGAATAGTGGTGGAATTCTGTAATCATAACCAAAATCTTCAAATCCTGAATCGGCCTCACATAGGTAAGCCACAAGTTTCTTACTTGTGTATATAGACAAGAGATAACAGTACCAATATTGGTTCAAAACTGAAAATTCATCTAAAAAATTGCACAGCACTAATACCAGTAATAGTTCAGGTGACCAGTGATTAATCCAAGAAGAAAATACTCAAAATCCTAAAAATGAACAGAAACTGGGGAATCTTAGTATCTCAATTGATTGACTAACTTTCACCCTGTTGCCTAGGGTTCGATTATCCATCACTAAATCCCCTAAATCTACCTCTAACCCTAACCCCAATTTTTTTAATTTTGAAATACAGCATACCGAACAGATCTAATAGAAGAAAAAGCAAAATCAATGAATTAAGAGTTAAAATTAGCAGTATGAAACAGAGAAAAATGAAGATAACACAGTTATAAGTATAGTGAAGAGAAATTGAAAAGGATTGTTACAGTGCTTCTTCTCCGCTCAGCAGCAATAGCCAAACCAAAAGCAATCAGATCGAATACGAAAATAGTTAGCATTAACAACTTCGACGCCATTTTTTACCAAAATCAATCACTAAATCGAGATTTCTTCTTCTTTCTGTCTCTGGAGTCTGGATATACTAGTAAAGAGGGGTTTAGAGAAATGCAGAAGCAGAAGCAACAACTGGCAAAAACAATAAAATAAAATTAGCAAAGCAAATAAAATGACATCCCAACAGTTCACATAAAATGTGAGCTACTCTTCACTAACCACCAACCACACCGCGCTTTGTTCACTAATTGTTTCAGTTTTGATGTTTTTTTATACTGTCGGTGCCGTCAATTGTGGTTAACTTCAAATATTTCCGTTTACTTTTATTTGTCTAATTATTTATTAGGTCTTAATTTTTTAAATTAAATATTTAGTTTTAGATATAATAAACCAGTAAGAATGGACAAAATAGTATATTTTTGTTCATTCCGAACAAATGTTACCCCTCAATTTCAATTCGACTTGTTAGCATATGGACAAATTACAGAACTAGACACGTTTTATTTCATTTATATCCATTACTCCCTTTACTTTTTAAGGTGTCCAAAATTTCTTATTTTCTCTAATGTATTCGAACTGTATATTAATGTTTTCGAGTCAGTATTTAATGTATCCTAACTAGTTTTTAGTTTATCCGAGCTATATATTAATGTATCCAAACTAATTTTAATATATCCGAACTACATATTAATGTATCCGAGACAATATTTAATGTATCCGACCTTAATTATTGTATCCGATTTTTTTATTTTTTAAAAAGTTAATGTAATTAGAAACTTATTAGTAATTGATTGTAATTTCATATTAAAATTACGAGATTTAAGTAATTTATATTATTTTTAATATGTCTAATAAATATTTTAAATTGTCTATTATAATAATTTATTATATACAAATATATAAATTTTATTTTAAATTTTTCATATCTTAATTTAGGATCAAAATTTAAAAAAAACTGATACTCTTAATCAGATACAAATAAAATGTGGCAAGGGAGTACGTATATATTTATATATGTACTTTGAATAATTTATTTCAATAAAAAAACATATTTATTTCTTAAGTTCTTTGTGGAAATTAATGAAGGAAATTAAATTATGAAGCAAAGGTCATATCCAATACACACTAATTTTACGTGTATAAGGCATACACACAAAGTTTAAACTTTTTAAAACTCTTACGTATAATAGAAAAAGAAAAATCAAACACGTAATTACAACTCTAATTAATAACTTTTTGTTCATTAAAGGTATACTTGGAAAATCACGTAGAGTTAACAGGAAAAAACTTATCAACACCTTTATTTTATTTTTTTTACATTAAATAAAAATCAATATACTTTATAATAATTAAATAATAAATTGTGTAAACATGATATGATTTTTTTTGTATAATATAAATATCGTGTCGGAGTACATTTTTAGTTGTTAATAGCTAGGTTGTTTATCATTTTAAGGAATATATCGAGAAGTTTATACGATTGTTACGAAGAGAAATATGATAATAACAAACGAAAAAAATAATATTAATCTATTAAGTCAAAAGATATGTAATTGCTTTGATTCTAATTTCTAGACAATATTAAATTCTATATTTGACTTTCCATATGACAACACTTCAAATTCCAGCCTTGCAGATAATATATGAATACTTAATTAATAAAAAGATCTTTGTAGATTACTCCAAAAAATAGCATAATAAAAGGGCTAGTTAAACAAAACTTGTCAGACTTCAAATGTTGTTACTTAAAGAGGGAAAATGGACTAAATATTTTGAAGTGCTGCATTAATATCTTAATTGACTTAACTTTTGCTTACTGGAGGTCAACTATTATCCATTGTAATATTTCTCGATTTGATTCAATATATTAAAAGAAGACTAAGATTTTTAAAATTTATAATGTAAAATAGTTATTGGATATTTGTGAGTTTGGAATCATTTTGATAAAAATAAAATAAATTTTTTTAAGAAATTAATTTTACTCGTAGTAAAATAAACTTTTAGAACGAATTAAAAAGAAGTAATACCACTTAAAATAGAACGGAGAAAATATTTCTATTTTGTGGTGCCACATCTGTCTAACAGCGTAGGAGTGACAAAATTAATTTAAAGAAAACCTGATCCCTCCGAAGTACAATGATTCGTTTATAAGTATTCTATTCTTTTTAATTCTCTTAAATTCAGTTTTACCTGTCCTATAATCATTATACGTAAAGATTTATATCATTATATGAGAATAATTACTAACTAGTTTAGTTCATTAGTGAATTAATTTTATGCTCAAACCTTGAATCCGAACTTATTCGATAAGATGAGATCCATCAACAAACCAATTAAATCTACATACTTATATAATAAGATAGTGGAACTTTTAAATATTGTAACTCTAGGCTCTAACCATATAAGTATATGTATATCAATGTAATAATTAATTAGATCTTTGATTGTATGTGGGCTTCAAATATTATTTTAAGTTTATCTACTTTGTGTACGTACTTTGAACCAAGGCTAATGTCAGTTTAGAAAGGAATTTTAAGAAAATGGAAAATAAAGATACAAAATTGATTGTAATTGATGCTATTTTCCTTTTTCAAGTATATCAAAATTTTTAAGGATTTTATATTTTTCTTCTATGAAGAAGTTGATAGTAAAAGCACAAAGAAACAATAAAAAAACACAAGATGAAATGGGGTTGAATGATTTGCTCTCTTCATTTGGTGAATTGATTAAAGGTTCAAGATGGAGACACCATTCCAAGTGGTAAAACATCTCTCTCTCGTTTCGTTTTTTGTCAGAGTAATAATTTTGATTTAATATTTATTTTTTCTTTCGTAATTTTATAAATAAAATCGATTAATTTAGAATGTATATAAATCTTACTTTACCTTATCTTATTTTTATCTTTGTGGGGTAAAGAAAAGTTGATTTTGATATAGTCTCGAAGCAAAACAAATGTGATTGCTTTATAAAAAGAAAAAGACTGACAACAAAATAACAGAATAAACAAAACAAATGAAACGACAATTATTGAGGATTGTTGTTTCACAATGTTATTATTGAGGATTGAATAATTCAATTGGGAACAATATATGTAGCCTAGCAAACTTGTGACATTATAGTTAGCACCAAAAATTTAATCTAGTGATTTATGAAATAGATAAACAATTATTTTAAATTAAATCTCAGCAAAATCAAATATAGTTGGTGAAATTATTTATCCAAAATACAAATTCCAATGAATAAAGTTATTCAATATTTATATTAGCAGAAAATAAAGTGTTATGCATGTTATATTTTTTCTTTTCTAGTGTATGATTGTGTTACTGAAATCTAAATCTAATCCTACTTAATTATTCGGTATTTTAATTTTCAATTTCTTTGACTTATGTACTCAAAATTTCAGTTTTACTAACTTTTAACGCTATTAGTGCGATTTAACTTATATTAGAAGATTATTATCTTTAATTATTAAATTATGACTAGCTAGTTGGATGTATTAATTATGAATGTTACGTGTAATTATCTTTTAAATTTTATAACAAATTTTATGTCTACAGCAAGAAGCTAATCAAACAACTTAAGGCACGTTTAGTGATACAAAGGAATAGAAGAAATTCAATTATAAAACAATTACGTGAAGACATTTCTCAACTTCTCCAAATTGGACATTATCAGCAAGCTTTTGCCAGAGTAATTTTCTCTTCAAACTAGTTTAACATTTAACTTGTTAATATTATAAGCTTCTAATTACTTACTTAATTAGTAACGAATCATCCGTTAATTACTTGTTACAGTTTGAACAACTTTATAGAGATGAGTGTAGGTTATCTGCATACAATCAACTTGACAATTTTTGCGATTCAATCTCTATGAACCTCCATGATATTAACAAAAACAGGTAATTAAAGGAAACAATTTTGTTCTAAATATCCATTTTCAATTAATTGATCAATTTCATAATGTTTAAAATTAGCGAGTTGAGTCTACTTTAATTTTAGTAAGACAAAATACTTATATACATAAATTAAAAATACTAGAATGTGACAAAATTTAACCTTCGAACTTAAATTTATAACCTACAAACAATTTTTGAAATCTTTCTATATTCAATTGATCTCTCTTTCAAACTCTTTTCATATTCATTTGATTCATCTTTTGTCAAGCTGATTTGTTCAAAGTTAGCTTACATTAAAATGAATTGGGTCAATTTTAATAAAATAGTGAATAATAATTTAAATTACAATCAACTTTTGTTTTTATTGAAAAATTAAAAGTAAAGTATCCAAAAAAAAAAAAGTTCATAGTACTTTTCTATTCATTTTTTTTTAATTTAAAAATACAAATCAATTCACCTTTTTTATTCACTAATATGCTTCCAAAGTACTTTTAAGTTATAAGATTTGGCAAATGAAGACTATTTCAAATTTGACTCTTTGAATGGATGAAAAGATTTTCATTTTTACACTTTAGTTTCTATTATGTTACGCATTTTTAATCTAATATTTAAATGAATAGTGTCAAATTCGTAAATAGTCTAAATAAAATTAGTGATTTAAAGCTAAAGTATTATAAAAGGCTATAAATATATATACATATGTAAAAATATTATTAATTCGAGATTGTCTTTTTTATTTTTCATATTAGTTGTTTTTACGGTATATTTGAAAAATACATTATGTTTTTGAGTTAACGTATTAAAATCATTATTTATAAAAAAAATAAGAATTAGTTATACCTAACAACAAGTTTAAATTTGTTTTGCAATACATTCCCTTTGATGTTACGTAAAAAAACTTTATTTATTAATATGAAAATTTAAGTGGTTTAACTCAGAGTTTTAAAATGTTCTAAATTCGTGTTTTTCGCAGGAAATTATCTGATGATATGCGAGAGGCTTTGTCCAGTATGATATTTGCAGCATCGAGATGTGGTGAATTGCCGGAGATGCATTCATTAAGGAATTTACTAATATGGTTAACCAAGCAATATCTCACACATGTCACAAATGTAAAAGAAGACATAAAGCTCCAAATCATTGATGAAATTTTCAGTACAAAGGACAACAACTCATGGGTTGAAAGCTTAAATTGTGAGATTTATACTTCAAAGAGAACCAGAAGGAATAAAACCGTCAACAACAATATAATGTAATGTAATTTCACAGGTGAAATTTGGGGAGAAAAATCGCCTCGAGTACGACTACAATCGCCTCATGTCCATCCGAAGCTTCCGGACTATGATAATTTAGTTGCCAAATTCAAAGATAGCAAAGGAGAAAATATGTATAAGACTAGTACAAAATATCAATCTTTTTCTAAATTGATGAGGTTGTAGAATTATTTCAATTACATTATGTAAATTAGTGAAGAGATAACCCCTAGGATTTTCGTTGAGAAGGTTCGGAAAATAAAAGTATTAAACATTTAATTCGAACCCTAGACGTCATGGGTAACTTTGAGCCCAGCTATCACTGGTCTATCTTATCCATTTGTTATTCAATGTATTCAAAATATATATATCCACAAATCCAGAAAATTCACCTTAGGTATATCGTGTATTTTTTTATCGAGGGTGTTCGAGTGAATACCCTGAATGACACGTGGGTCCACCCCTGCATAGACCGTAATCACTTCGTTTAGTTGATTCTAGATTATATTTTGATTGATGCATAGTTATTATTTTTATCTTACACCAGAATTGTTGGCAGTGAAAATTTTGAAATTCCGCTCTAATTTTTCTTATAATATTAGTAGGCATGTACTTATCTATTATCATCCAAGCAACTTTTTTTACTACATTATGAAATTAATGTAATGCTTTAACAAATTCCGTTGTAGTCTAGTTGGTTAGGATACTCGGCTCTCACCCGAGAGACCCGGGTTCAAGTCCCGGCAACGGAAAATCCTTTTTATATCTTTTACCTGTAATACTTTTATAAAAACTCTTTATTAAAATCCATATTCTTTTTAAATAGTGAAATAATAAAGTAAAGTAAAAAATGATAGTGATATTCATTTTAAATAGTGAAATAATAAAAGTAAAGGGAAAAAAAAATTGGGTAAGATCCACCAAAGTGGATAAGCCTTAACCGGATGTGTCTGATAACAGGTAAAGCCCGAAGGCTGTTCCCGTCCCTGTCGGGGGAGATGCCAACCATCTCTCCTTTCTACGAACACAATATATGTCAAATTATGTACTGTATATATATACATAAAACATATATAAATAACCGATGTGGGATTACTGATAAGGCATAACATAAGAAAAAAGTTGCATTTTAAAGAGTTTTGATAGTCATGCATAGTCAAATTAAATTATTACGAGCGTCTATTAGAAATAACTCCTCTACTCACACAAATATAGGGATAAAAGGTCTGCATATACCCCACCCTACATGTGGACTATACTGGATTGGATATGTTGTTGTAATCAAAATAGCGTTTAGTAAGTCGCGCAAAGACAAATTCATAAAAACACAAACAATAATGTTATACAACAAAAGAGAATTGAATGAATTCTTTCTTTTTTGATACAAGATTTTATTGAACAATAACCACAACACTCATCACACAGGATTTCACAGCAATAAGGAATGTCAAAACAAGGAAAAAATTCAGTTTTTTCTACCAAAATAAAGAAGCTTTCTGAATCCTTTCGTAACTCTAAGTGAACTTTCATCAGTTGTCCATTTCCTTCTTCCTTGATTCGTCTCGAAGTTCATTTCATTATTTGGAGGTGGGGTGGAAACTTCATTAGAGAGTATGTCTTGGCATACTGGAGTGTCCAAATGCACGTTCGATACAGAGGAAGTCAGATGACTTATAACTCCAATAGCATTGTCAACTGCTGCTGAGGTTTCAACTTCAGACAGTAGAAACTTAACAGCCTTGTTAGGACTTTGTTTCTTGTCATCTATTGAATGTTCAGCAGAAATCATAGGTGTATCTATCTTCTTCTCGATTAATGATATGCTACGTACCTCCTCCGTGTTCTTAGCATCAACGACTTCACTAGATACTTGTGGACTCAGTTCTGCTCCACGTTCGTTTAACATTGAGTTTACTCCAGTGTTGCTATCTTTTTCCTTCTGAGGAGGTTCAGATGAAGAGTGGCCTTTAGTATCCGAAGGCTTGGACTTACGGGGACCTTGCTTAGTACTCTCTTTTCCAGCTGATTTCTTTGTTGGAGCAATCACTTTGTTCTCCTTTCGACTTGCTTTCCTGCTTGGAGTGGTTTTTGAGTCAGTGGATCGATCCTTAGCTGTCCTTGTAGTTGTAGACGCGAGACGCTCTATAGTGGAACTCTTAAAAACTGTTTTTTGTAATCTATTGGTTGCCTCAGGTTTTGATTTCTCAATTGTTGAAGATGTGGCTGGATTCTTCCTTGATGTTGGTTTGGTTAAACCAGTGGCACCACTTCTTTCTGCGATTCTCTTTTGACGTTGCAATAATGATTGTTCTAATTTCTTTCGACTCTCCTCGTCCTGTTAGTAACGTTGAGAGAGAATTAAATTATCATAATAATAACAATGACAGGTGAAAAGAACAGGAAAAAGTATATATTTAGTACAAGATTGTTCATACCTTGTCAGCTTTGCTCTTCTGAAATGTGGAAGGTGATTTCTTGATTCTTGATGATGTATCAGATTTGGTCCTTCCAAGAGATCCGGTTACGGAAGTTTTAGATTTTGGTTCTTTAATAACTGCCTTTCGCCCAAGGTCCCTACCGATCCTTTTGTTGGTCCCTTCGCCTTTTGTTTGAAGCTTTGTCTCAGCAGAAGCAGGTCTGATATCAGTGTGACTCTTAAGAGTTTCAGACAGGAAGACATCATTTTCGTCATACATTTCAGTATCCCGAGAGGCTGAAACTTGCTCAGCAGCTGAATCTCTTCCAAGAACCATGAAAAGATCATTTGGTTCACATGCATCAGAAGGATCAAGCTTCTCTTCCGCGTGATTAGGCATGCTGTGCTTAACTTGTTCAGCTCCGACGATGTCTAAGACCATGAAAATGTCTGTCTGTTGGTCATAATCAGACACATTATCAACCGAATGGGCTCGAACCACAATGGAATCATCAAACTGGACGCCTTTCTTATCTTTCCCTGTTTTCAAATGATCATCATGAGAGGCTGAAGCATAATCTCCAACAAAGATACTTTGATCTGAGCTTTTTCCTTGATATGTTGATTTATTTAGTAGATTGCCAGCTAACCAATCCTCCTCTTTTTGGCTCTTAAGAACAACTCGTTCAGTGTCAATGTTCGACGAGATAGACTGAGGATAGCCCTTTGGTTCCTGAGTTCTATGCGAAAATAACAACTCTTCATCTGTGCTCTCTCTTATAATAACTGGTCCACGCCTCTTCTCTTCCCACATGTTTTGTCGTGGTATTTCATCTCCGTGTCCCATGTTTCTCTCGTTTATTATAAGAGGATCAGTTGAAGGAGTCATTTTCTTTGTCATCAAGTACTCTTCCTGGACATCTTTTGGCCTCGTGTCATCGGTTCTTGAATCTGCATCTTGCATTAGAATGTTCTGGAAGATATCCCAATTCTTACCACTGTTGGTTACTTCATCCTTAGAGGCACCATTTGATATACTCCCACTGTTGTTTCTCTTCTTTCCATCTCGCTTCTTCTTGTTCCGAGACGTTGAGTTATGATGCCTCTCCCATGATCCAACTGCTTCCTCTACCTGCTTTCTGAGGGAACCTGCATCAGTGGATCCATCCTCATCAGATGAACTATCCTCGGTGCTGCTGTGATCACTTTGTTCATTTCTCTTCGAGGCTATATAGTTTATGTTGCGGATAACAACTTTTCTTGATGATTTTTTCCCATGATGCATTTTCTTATCCTCCTCATAATCATCAGAGTCACCGTTAGAGCTTGAATTGTTGCTTTCATTTCTATCCCCGTTTGAATATTTCTTCTTGTTCTTGGAAGGTGGTTTATTCTTCCAATTATAATCTGATTCAGGACCGGGACCTCGACTAGAATCTTCTGGATTCACAGGCCATGGCATTCCAGTATAGTAACTCGGATTGCCCGAAAACATGTACCCTGGATATGGTGGAATTTGTTGAAATGCAGGATTTTGATAGTTTTGCAGGTAAGGTGGCATATTGTTTGGCCACATTGGCTGTGATTTCCCTTCTGTTGAGTGAACTTTGATAGGTGGTGGTAAACCATTTTCTGCAGAATTTAACGAAGTAATGTCATATTCATGGTAAACGCGATTGACAAATATCGTTACGTGAGCTCATTAACAAGAAGTTTCAAGCGAAAAAAGCAAGAGGATTGTCATAGGTACCTTGACTAGTATCCAGACTTCCATGACTCAATGTATCATCATTCTGTTTTCTGATGGAAAGATCAATACTTTGATTATCTTGAGTAACATCAGCAGCAAGCGTGATCCCCGACCTCCCAAAATACGAAAACTCAGAAGGAGAGTAGGCTTGAAGAGCAGCAACTTCATCCATCCAGATCCCATCATCTCTCTTTTTGTTGCACAGCTCCATAAACTTAATGCAGGCTTCTCTGGATCAAAGCAACGTATAATTTCAATAGGTATTCATAATAGTATTATCTACCAATCTTAATTAGTACGAGAAACAAAGAGATTTACACGTTGCAGCAAAACGAGTAGCTAGCTAGCAATCTACCTCATCGCTCATTTAGCACAAACACAAAGTGAACTACATAGGACTTAGCAAATTAGGTTTCGTAGTCTCTACATAGATGTCACAAATGGCTTCATTCAAGTCATACATACCTTAAACGTAGAGCGCCAAAAGCATTGGAAAAAGATATGAGATCATCCAAATTATCCATATCAAAGCCAGATACCAAAGCGCGAGCATATGCCATTGCTTGCTCTTTCCTTAAAACTGCTTTTCTACTTTCTAGAACGCGTTGAAGACGAATCCTATCCATAGAAACAAGCATTTTAGTCATATAAGATAAGTTATATAAGTAATGTTATGAGAAACACAAGAACTTACTTAGGATTTTCTTCCTTTGTAGCATCACCAACACCATTAGATTCACCGTTGGACTTCAGTATCGAATTATCAGTTGTTAATAAGTAGGAAATTCAAGTAAAAACGCGATACAACATAGTTTTATCTACTCTACAAATCGATATACCTTTGAAAAACCAGCAGAGAATTTGGAATCTCCATCAAAAGCTGATGCATTTCCTGAAAACATACACAAACGACATATAAACAAGGTCGGTGTCTCAGATAGTCACTCAACTAATAGTTATCATACGAGAAAGTCACATTTCTTCAACAAAAGAAAAATGACTCTACGAGATAATAACTGACCATTTGAGAAATCAACTCTTCATATACGAACGCATCGATCAAACATACCTTCAACGTTGATACTACCATTAGCTTGTTCACTCTCAATCTGCATAATATCTCTTTCTATGCTTACAAATCGCTCGATAATTTCAGGAGTACTAACAAATTTCACAAACCTGATAATATCAACGATGAAAAAAACTACCATATCAAACATCGAAAATCAATCTAACGAACTGCATTTTTCATCAAATTTAAAGCATGATTACCTCTGTAAAGTTGCTTTAGTGAACCAACAAACATTAGCGATCAAAGGTCGAAGAGTAATTGAATAGCCTCCTTTAGAAATCTGATCTTTAGCGGATTTGAGATGAATGAGAAAAGGTTCAAGCAAACCAGAAGCTAATTTCTCCGATTTTTCACCAGCAAAGATTACAAGATCGCACCTATGTAAACATACAAATCAAATTTAAGCAACATGAATATGCGATCCAAAATAACAATTCTAACAATAATCAAGCATCGAGCCAATGTACCTTGTTCGTGTTGGAGTTAGCTGAAACAGAGCATAATCCAAACGAATCCTCGAATCCATTATAATGATTTTGCACTAATAAAACAAGAATTCAACAGTAATTTAGTGTTTGTTGAAGAAAATTGAAATATATAGAGACTGAGTTACTAAAACAAAGCATATATCAAATGGGTCCTGGAAAACCATATAATAATATATTTTTTTCAGTACAAACAATATTTCAATGAACAATTTTAGTAAATTAAGACTCCTTTCAAAAGTAAAAAAAAAAATACTAGTTTTTTTTGTTGAAGAAACTGAAAAATGGAGTGAATTAGCAAAAAATGGGGTCACTAAATTCAATGCCGACAAATTCATAAAATTTTAGAATAATGAATCTATGAATTTATGTAAAAACATCTTATAGTATATAGTATATACTGGATATGGTGTTTTGCGAGTTTTTCGTATAATACAATGGCGAAATCAGAATTTTTTATTCAGAATAACTATTTTGATATTGATATTTGTGTTAATAAGTCTATATTATCAAATAGTATGAGCATTTTTTAACAAAACTATGACCACAAATAATTCTGTACCAAATTATTAACGAAAGGTATTTCATGTATGTTGATGATATTTTTTTATCGTTTTAACAAAAATATCAATTTTAAATTAAAATTACTGAGTTTTGTCGATTTCGAGTACGATGATGGGGCAGGGGTTGGGTGAGGGGTCGTTTCAAAAGTTTATAATTCTTATAGTTGAAGACAGCAACAATGGCGGGCTCCTCTTCCTTCTTTTCTATTTTGTAATTCAATTTGTCTGATATTTTTTTTTCTTCTAAAAATTGATTTTTTCTTTGCTTTACTGTTACTCACAAAGTGTAATAATAAAACTCACAAGGGTGAAGTCCCACTATATCTGCTGTGTAACCGAATTTACCAGACTTTTACACTACCTATCGTTATGACTAGGTTCGAGTTTAAATTTGAATTTGGAAATAAAAAAAATTATGATATAGAATATTTGTCTTCTTAATAATGCATAATTGAATTAAATTTGAACGAGTCAAGTTAATCAATGGTTAATGCTAAAAAGAAACAATTCAACTTATTTAGGGAAATATTCCAAGTAAACCAAAATATTCTATTAATAATGACACTACTACTTTTTTTCTTTTTCTCTACCCCTATATATATATACTATAACAAATTGTAATTCAAAGGGTAATATTCAAATAAATAAGTCTTATTTTGAAGAAATTGAATATTCAAACGTCCAAAATTTGACTTAAAAAGGTCAAAAGAGTAAACTTTAAACTTATCAATGGTGTAATTTGCTAAATTTTTTTGTGTGTGTGTGTTGTGTGTGGGGGGTGGGGGGTGGGGGGGAATATATATATATATATATATATATATATATATATATATATATATATATATATAAAAAAAAACTTTGATGTGATAAATCAATGATGTAATACATAAATCGAATGATGATTCGTCTAATAATTTTCTTTAAAAAGATAAATTGTGTATATAAAAAATAATATAGTAATTAATATAAGTCAAATATTTTATTTATATTTATATAAATATATACTAAAAACAAGAGATAAGCATGAGATTTATGGAAGCAAACATCACACCTTTAAATCAAAATTGAAAAGATGTAACAACACAAATATCATATCATGAAGGTGGATTAAGAAAAACAAAAAAGAGTTTTGAACTAGAAAAGTACCTACCCCTTTATTTAATTAGCTGGATTAATTAGGACAGCCTTCTTAATGATGATATTGACCTAATTTCTTTGCAATTGCATCAAAATTTCAACATTGCTTGATTAGTTTTACTTTTTTTAACCCAAAATTGATTTTGATTTGCAAACAACCACCACTTCTACTAACTTCTAAGATAAAAAATTTATCCTTTGCCCTTGCATGTCAACTAAATTTTATGAATTAAAAATATGCAAGTAACAATTTGACTTATTGGTGGGTGATGTATGCGATAAAAATCACGGACAATATAATAATAGTAGCATATTCAGTGAGATGTAAGTATCGAAGGGTGAGTCTCAACAGTCTCTTCATAGGTAATTTCTATTTTTATTCGTGTGTTTGGTAAATAGAATAGTTATCAGATAAATAATTGAAGCACACTCAACTTACTCGACCATTAATTCCAATCGCCGTGTAACCCTATACAGAGGATAGGCTGGTTCGCTTAAAGAGAATCTTTTCTATGATCCGAATCATGTTGTACATGAGCAGGCTCCGTAAGATCTAGTATAAGTGAACTAGATAAAAGGGAATCAAGATTCCCTTTTATCTAGTTCACTTAGAAGATTTAATAGTATGTAAATGTATTCATTTCCTCTGCATTGACACGATCAATACTACTATCGGAGTGAAACAAGGGATCTAAAGAAGAAGAGAGGCTAGACTATATTAGTAACAAGCAAACCTTGTATGTGTATCTCCAAGCATTTTGGAGATAAATACCAATTAGAAGGTCTGAGACGACCCAGAAAGCACTTGATCATATAATGTTGAAAAAATAAGTTAGAAACATACATAAGCGGATTCATAATACTTCATTCGAATGAACAGATACCTAATGACTATTGCGTTAAAAAAACCACATATCAAAAATTTCTAACAAAAATGATTCTATACTCCGCTATAAGATTTAATTTATAGATCAAGACTTACAATAATCTTGTAATTTACATTTACCTACATTAAAAGGCAAGACAAAAGGGACTCCATGTGATTAAAACGTTACGCCCTATATATACATGCCTTGGATCTGTTACAATATTTATTACTATTTTTTTAGTGCATATTATAATCTATTTATCTTTAGATGAATCAATATTTACATTATCTTAATATTTTTTATTTAATTTGTTGCTATCATAAATCAGTTAGCAAGTTACTATTACTAATTTGATGCAATTTTAAGTAATCATATTCTATTACCTTCTTATGGCATCATATGACAATTAGTTTCATATTCAGGTTAACAATGATCTAATCATCATCATTAATTAAAGTCTCAATATTATTTTTTTCAAAAATTAATATCATTTTGATATTCTTTTGAGACCGGGTTAAAGTTGCGCATAGAAATTACTCTGAATATGTTATTGTTATATTATTTTTGCATTCTTGTATATTTACCACTATTAATACTAATTAGTACTAGTTAGGTTGTGAGTTATATTTCAATTATACAAATATAATTTTGTGAAAATAAATTGTTTGTTAGGTTAGCAATTCACATCATAGTACTGTGGATCAACAGTAGTAATATTATATAGAGCTAAAATAGATTAATACATGGAGGACTTGGTAGGTGATACTACTCTACCAGATAATGTGGCACGAGTTTAAATGTGATAATTTTTTTATAATAATTTAAACTATAGATTTTATCAGTTCAACTATATATAGCTAAAAAATAATTCAACCAAACAAGCCAGTACTTCTGAAGTTAAATATAATTGGGAAATTAGCAAACATGAAGTCACACTATTGCATGTTGAATCATGGAACTAGAATCACGTGAACTATGGTAGGATGATTGAGATTTTTTCACTCTATTAAATTTTTTGAATTCGATCCCCTAAAAATGAAAAGAAAAATCCCTTTGAAGTGTTGCCCTAGAAATAAAATATAAAATGTGCAAAAAGAAATATCGAACACCAAATTAAAATCGATTAAAAAAATATCAAATGTGGCTGCTGGGATTCGAGCCCAGGTCTCCACGGCCACAACGTGGAATTCTCACCACTAAACTACAGCCACTTGATGTTCAAACTTTCTTAAAGATTTATATTAAATAAAGTTTTATATTTTCAACTAAAGTTAACCAAAAAATAGAAAAAAACTTAGACTGGGATGAATTATATATTTATCTGGTTGGTTTTCTATGATAAATATATTGTACAGTGTGACTAAATTTAATTTTTTTAAAAAAAATTCCACATTTCGAAATCTCTAATTAATAATGAAGGAGTAATTATTATTCCACCGTTCTACAACCTTATTGGTTACAGGTTATATCTCGAAGGTATAGCTTCTCTATAAGCTAGCGGTTAATATTGTCATCAATTTAGAAAAGATAGTTAATAAGTACAACAACATATTTAAAATAATTCTATAAGTAGTGGCGTAGCCACATAGTGGTAAGGGTGTTTAATTGAACATCTTTTGTCGGAAGAAAATAACATATATACAAGTCAAATGATATTTAAAATATTTGAATAATATATTTTGGACATTTTTAACATAACAAACTGTTATTTTTTGACACTATTTATGAAATTCCTGGCTCTACTACTGTCTTATAAGTAAGGCTTGAAAAGAGTGAATTGTACGCAAATTTTATCTTTATCTTTATGAGATACGTAGAGAGACTATAAAAGATCTTTAATAAGTAATTATTTATGTACTAATTTCACAAATCTAAGTATAAAAATATCAAAAACATGCATTATCCAATATATATTAATATCCCATCTACTGGGGCATAAGTCCCAACAAATTTTTCTCATCCCATGGGCGTTTAGAGCTTTAATCACTCTATAATTAATCTTTTAAGACAAGTCTCTAGTAAGAATTGACTATCCATAAACAATGCAAAATGAACTAAAACAAAATGTGTATTTCACTATTTTGACTATTAACTAATGCATTATTAATCATCAAAATTACAGCTAAATTTGGGACTAATTAACTTTTTGGTAATGGTATATACGGTCAATAACTAATTTGTGGTGATATTAATCAACATTAATTCAAATTATTCATATTGATTCAGTTTTTTTTTTTTTAAAGTTTCCTCTCAAAGCCTTAATTAATTTCGGATAGTAAACGGCAGGATTTATTCGAAGTGACGTCAGTAGCGGAGTCATGATTTTCACGAAGGGTGTCTAAGTGCTAAAGTCAATCTGTTCTTCTTAAAAGTGAAAAAAAAATTGTTAGTAGTGAAATCCGAACACACAAACACTTTAAATTTTTGTATTTTTACTTTTTCAAGGCGCCTGAAACCACTAGATTACATCATATTATTGTGTAAAGGATATCCAAAATATATTATTTAATCACTTAATTTATTATTTTACTTATATATACGATATAATATTCTGACATTCTTAGAATGTCCGACACAAGTGTGGCTACGCCAATCGCCACTAAGTGACGCTCCCAACATTAATTATAAATAAAGCAATTTCACGAATATACCATAACCGACATTTGTCATATTGTTTAAACATTATAGTCATAAGAGTCTACCAAACGTTTTTGAAGGTTCCAAAGAACTTCCTTGTATTTGGAAAAAAAATACAAGACAAGGAATTAAGAAGTGAGAAGAGGTCAAAATATTCAAACATATGAAATTCCTTTGTTTTTTATTGTCACCTGTCAAATCACACGGTTATACCCTAAGTAAAATTCAATCTTCTTCAACATTAGAAATTCTCCTCTCACTTTCAAACAAATACAACGACTTTTTTTAAAATCGATATTCGCGATTTCAATAACGAAGAATTTATTCGTTTCATCATTAATTCATAAGGGTCATTTCATTTATGGACAACGTTATTTCAAAATTATAGTCTTGAACAAAACGATCCCTTAAATGAAGTTCAAGTTCAATTTTTAGTCAACATTTCCTTCCTTAAAATTTCACCTTTCTTATTTTATTCTCACCTTATATCCTATATTCATTTTTATAGCTCTAAATAATTCAGATTCGTATGGCTAATCAAGAACCGCCAAAAAGGAAAATACTCTAGCAGAATTTTGATTTTAGAATAACACTCATCAAAACATCTGACTAAAAATTACACCAAATATTCGTCCCATCATAATTCTTCGTAATATAAAAAAACTACGAGCGCTCATGTATTATTATTATTACTACTAGTAAACTCCAAACATATTCCATGTTCACATGTATAACTTTCTCTAAACGAAAAAAAAATCAACTCATTTGTTGAAATACAACCACCTATATAAATACCACAAGGAAACACAAATTTAGCAAAAACACATTCCAACATTAAAAAAAAATTTTAAAAAAAATGCAACGTTCATCACTAGTTTTTAACTTATTACAACGCCAATTAGTCCATCAAAGGCAAAGGATTAGCAAAAACCAAATGATTAACAAAGTGATTAGATCACAATTACCATGTGATGTTTTCATTAATCATAGAGGTAATGACACAAAGAGAACAATAGCTTCATTATTATATGATCATTTGACACGTTTAAGGATTACTTCATTTTTAGACAACAAAAACATGAAGCCAGGTGACAAATTATTTGACAAAATTGATAGTGCAATTGATGAATGCAAAATTGGCGTTGCTGTATTTTCACCACGTTATTGTGATTCATATTTTTGTTTACATGAACTGGCTTTATTTGTTGAATCAAAAAAGAAATTGATTCCTATTTTTTGCGATGTGAAACCCTCTGAGCTTCGTGTTAGTAAGAGTAATAATATTCAACTCGAATCGAAACAAATCGAAAGGTTTAATTTTGCACTTGAAGAGGCTAAACACACCGTTGGACTTGATTTCGACACTAATAAAGGGTACGTATCGTTTTTAATATGTTATAGCAGATTATTTACTTTATACTTTAGATTATTTGATTTTACTTATTATTGATTTAACTTTTTAATGAACCTAGCTTTAGTACAAGCTATGAGCATTTAAATATATGTATTAAATTATCACATTGTATATTTCTAATCACTTGCATTGAATTCAATAATATGGCTTATAAAATGTTTTTTTTTCCCATAAATAATACATGCATAAGTTTTATAGTGTTATAGAGAAATCTTTTTGAATTATACATTGTATACTGATATTATCTAATATATAAAATTATATATTCAAAACTACGTACTCTTAAATGTATATATGTTAAAATACTCTTTCTTAATTATCTTGTTGTTGGATTTATCGACTTAATTAATTACAAAGTGTAATTAACTATGGTTTCTTTCGTTAATTTTTGACAATTTAATGTTGTTTGTAGGAACTGGTCTGATGTGGTGACAAAAGCAACTGATGTTGTCATTGAAAGCTTGATTGAAATTGAAGAAGCTCAGATAATCAAAAATCCCAAGAAATTAATTATACCATAATTAAAAATGGTATCATTTTTTTTATTTATTATTTTAAAAAGGAAAGCTAATTAACATGAAATTGTTGTTTTGAATAAGTTGTCAGTTTTTGTATGGTTTTGCTAAAATGTTTTAGTGAACTATTCATGTTGTTTTTTTATAGTATACAATTAACAAGCAGATATTTTTTTTATTATTGTAAATGTCCAAAGTTCATCCAATAAAATTTATTTAATGTTATTTTTTTAATAAAAATCCACAAATAGAAAAGTATTTTTTTTGTGTGTGAGTGTATGTGTTATTTATTTAAGAGATGTATGTATAGACAATTATTTTTGTAAATATAACTTAATACATTACATGCGTATTTTCTAAATACCATGTATATTAATTCATTCAAAAATTTAATATTAACATGCGCAATTCTTCAAAAGTTAAGTGTAAAATAATTCTGAATAAACCGAAAATTTAGCATATATTGCCAAAAAAAATAAAATAAAAAAATTAAACTCCTTATATTGATTTCTCTGCTTGTATATCATTGGTGAGAAAATTGTGATACCAATGGGCCGAAAGTTTTGGGCTTCGATCCAACGTAAATGGATCAACATAATAAAGCCCAAATTTAATTGTGTAACCAAAATTCCATTCAAAATTATCCATTAAACTCCATATGAAATAGCCACGCACATCAGCACCATTCCTGTTCCAACATAAATTCATAATTACATGAATCGTGGTTGTTGCAAATTCGCTTTCGCTAAAAAAAAAAAAAAACTTACATATGAATACGAATATTTAACGATAGAAATACCTGATTGATCGAGCCAAAGATGCGAGGTATGCTTTGTGAAATTTAATTCGATTAATGTCTTTGTCCAAGTCATTATCATTTGAACCATACCCTGAATACATAATTTTTATTACACACTTTTAATTAAGTAAAAATCCATGATAACGTGTGAAAAATTCTAAAAGTATAAGGAGATTAATAATTACCATTTTCAGTCACAAATATAGGCATGTTATTGTATCTCTTCTTAATATAATCAATAATATCCTCCATGCCTTGTGGAACCACATACAATCCAGGCAATCCCATCTGAAAGAAAAATAAATTTATTTATCATTATCATATAACACTATATTATACATAAAAAGATAATTCAGTACATCAATATTCCACTATGTAAGTTACACAACTCACAAGCATTGGTAATAAAGTCAGAGCCCACCAATAGCCACAAGAAGGAAGTAATGCCTAAATTACCCTAGAGCTAGAGTATTGAAAGGGGATTCGTCTGTCGTTAAAAAATTACACTATATACAAAATTATATAGTAAGACATAATTACTCTTATTCAAGTTTGATTATTGTAATGATGGAAATGATTTTTGTATCAAATGAAAGTACATTTCTCATCATCTCATCAAAAAAGGGGGATAATATTACAATTTCACGACCCTATAAATCATACGAAGATAAAATTATCGATAGTATGAATAATGTCTTACCGGATCTCCTATGAATTCACCATCTTTATTCTGTCCAGAAGTGAGCAAAAACCCTACAATTGCATGATTTTCACCATGGCTACACGTAGGATTATTCTCATGCATGCACGTACAATTTGAATGAAGACAATCCTTGACAAACAATGTTGAATAATGATTAATTCCTATAAAATCAATGCTCTTTTTTATGAGTAATTTTTCTTCAAAGCTAAATCTTGGTAATTTCTTCCCATGATAATGTCGCATTTCTATTGGATAATCTCCATGTACTAGAGGATCAAGAAGCCTGTTCATTTAAAAAAAATATCGTATTATCATCGGGACGATAAAATTAGCTCATTTCCGTTTAAGTAATTTTGACCCGTTGATTTATTTACTTAGATCATATGAACCCGTTTAAATTCAATTCAACACGTTTATTTTTGACGCTCTTAATTATTATTTGATTTTATGTTTTGAAAAAATATTTTATCTACATTCGATGTATGTGTCAAATCAAGTAAATATATCATTTCTATACACATTTTTACCACTTAATTATTACTAATTAATGTATATATTAATTTTGTATAATGTAAGCTTTTTTTGTTAATGTAAATCTCATGATATACGTCTTTTATACACATTTTTACCACTTACGTACTAATTAACGTAAATATTATCATAACTTGGTATGGTGTGTACGTATATTTGGTGTTATACATACGTACCAAGCCACATGAAACGTCAAAGCTCTAGTTGCTGCCTTCTTGTCAACTTCATCATCTGTCATTGGCTTATACATATACGCGCTCGCAACCATTCCTATCATTCCACGTTGTTCCACCTGCTCGATCGTTAGTGATTATATCATTCTTTTTTAAAACAAAGTAGACGCGAATACTTACTTGAAATTGGTCACGATAAATTTTGACAGCCTTGGCATGGGCCAAAATTGAGTTGTGGACAACAAGTAAAGGCTCAATATCTGAATTACCATAACCACATTTTCCAAATGGAGGAGAACAATGGGAAGGTGGAAATATTCCCTTCATATAGGCTAATTCTGAAAATAAATTGGGCTCATTTATAGTAGCCCAATACTTCACTCTATCCCCAAAATTCTTAAAACATGTTGATGCAAAGTGCACAAATTCTTCCCTACAAAAAAACTCAAAATTATATCTAACGTCAATTGAATTCACTGTTTACTTTCTTAACCAATATACATAGATATATATCATGTATACATGATTATACATATGGGATACATAGAGGTGGAATTAGGATTAGGAGTTTGAGGGTCATCAATTTCATAGTACCATTGAGCAGTCAGTCAATTTTGTTAGGATTCGTAAGTAAATATACATAATTTTTCAGTACAACTATAGGATCTACGAAAAAGTTATTGAATTACCCACGAACCTCCACCTAGCTCCGCCTCTGATGATACATATATTATATTCTTGCTGACTATTTTTTAATAAATAAAACTTACTGCATGAAAGGACTAAGCCATGCCCCATATCTTTCCTCAAGTTCTTGAGGATAGTCATTGTGATGAGTTGTCACAAATGGTGTTATTCCTGCAATATATATTTTAACCTACTAATATTACTTTATAGTAATCTTCAATTATGGTAAACCCTAAATTAAGAAATGTGTTATGTATATTATTAATATATAAAAATTCACCTTTGAGTAAGAGATTATCAATGATATTATTGTAAAACTTCATTCCAGCAGGATTCATGGGTCCGGAGCTCCCATCTGTTTAGAAAATATACACAATTTAAGAATATATTATGATTTCGAGTATCATCCATTATAGAAAGACATTTTTTTTATAAATATCTGAAAGTACCTTATTTTAAATTATTCTTACCTCTCGAGCAAACTTTAATTTCTTAATACAAACAATGTTATAAGAAAAAGAAACATACTAGGTAGAACTCTACTCCAAGAAATGGAAAATCGATAGGCATTTACTCCAAGAGACTCCATTATGTCAATGTCTTCCTGCCCATAACAATTAATTAATTATTTAAAACAAATTTATTAAAAGTCGTTGTTTTAATTAAATTTATATTTATATGACATAATTAATTTTATTATTACCAGGTAACGATGATAATGATCATCAGCTATATCTCCATTTCCTCCATTTTTTATGCTACCTAAACCAAAAATAAAATAAAAATAGATGCATTATTATGAGATTATATAAAAGGGATATATTAGAGAACTTCTTTTTTTTTAATTGGGTACATGTATATAATAATAATGTTAGAAAGATACCATTTGTATGAGAATATACATCCCAATTGCTTAGACTTTTTCCATCTTCAATATATCCTCCTTCAATCTAACACAAATTAAATGTTCATCATGTGCATTTTCAACGAAGATCGTCAATTCTCTCTATAACAATCATGTTTCACATATAATCATTTCAAATCTTTTATTTTCTTAATAATATCATTTCTCTAAAACACACACGAAATATCTGAACAGACGATATTAATTTTTATTAAAAAAATTGACTTTATATACACGGCAAGAGAAACATACTTAGAATTTTTTAACGACGGATCGATAAATTCTATCACCAAACAACAAAAATTAAAGGTGAAAGATGTATGAAGTACTTGATATGCAGAAGTTGAAGTTCCAAATAGAAAACCATCTGGAAATTCTGATTTCTTCACTTCTTCTTCAAAGCAATTTTCTCCTAATTGGCAATTAATTATACTATTTGAATAAACACGTTGCAATATTAAGAGGTGAAAAATAAAATAGAAGATTTTCATTTTTTTTGTCATAGTTTAAGATAGAGCCTAAGTTGTATTTATAGGATTAGTAATAAAATGATTAATTAATTACTAGCAGTAGTTGAAAGGAATATTGAATTATTGGAGGTTTATATATCTTAATTATTTTGACATATTTTCTGAATAAAATATATCCTCAACTGAGTTGTACACTTTTATACATTGAAAATATTTTTATTAATAAAAAAGATTTACAAGTTTGATGCACCTTTCCCAATTAGTTGCTATGTGTTTTTCCATATTATTATTTTTCTATTGTTATGATTTCATATATTTGAATTGAAGATCTTTTCTAAATAAATTTTCTACTTTTATATTATAGTAATAAAGTTTGTATGTATTTTACTTTTTTTAAATTCGACTTATATAGTATTTTATTAAATGTATTATTATTGTTATTGTATAATTCATTATAATTACTTCTTTATTAGTTGTTATATGGTCTTCAGATTGTTTTATCTTTTATATCTATTATAATTTTTGCTATAATCCAACCAAAAAACTTTTAGAAATAACCTTTTTCTCCTTTATTGAGTATGTTAGCTATACCCTTTATTAAATTTCATTTATGTTATAACTAGTTTAATTAGGCTTGAAAATAGAAAAAAAATGAAAGTAAAATTAGTGTAATTTTTAGTTTTAAACAAGTGATAGACAATTTTTGTGTTACTGAAATTATGCATATACATAAAGTTAA